AAAAAAAAAAAAAAAAAAAAAAAACTCGGAACTCAATGTACGAAACTCGCCAGATTCATGTAAATATAATCAGTGTGGGTTTTATGATCGCTCCGAGCTACAGCCCTGGCGCAATAACCGGGTCGCCCTGCTCGAAGACGCCGCTCATCCCACCAGTTTCCGTAAGCAGGCCTAAGCCTAAGCCTACTTTGTTTTGGCTCTGCTGACACTTATCGATCCGCATCGGTCATTACTGGTCAAGCACGACCCATCTGCTGCGCCACCGTCAACTGCGCTCCTCTCGGCGGTCTTCTCAGATTACGAGAGCCTCCGCATCCCTCGAACATCCGCACCTGTAAGGGGTGCGCGTGAACAAGGTGAAGCGCGGGTCATGCATGGCGTCGAGGCGTGCAAGCAACGCAATCAAACAATCCACAACGCATGGAAAAATGAGGACGCTCTCGCAGCGATGTACCTGGAGTTGTGCTCGCACCCGTTCACAGGACAGAGCGAGATATGGTAACACGAGGTGTGATGGTGCCGTGGCAGCAGCGGACTTGTCACTAAGGATATTGGCGGCTCGATAAATTTGCGTTCCCGAGCAAAAATATCATTGTGCTAAATATTACAGCTTCAGATACCATTCATAAGGTAACCCTTTGTTCGCGGCTCGCGGGTATTAATCAAACACTGCCCGTTAGCTCCTTCAGCTTGGCCTCGCGCTCCCGCTGTGCACCCATGCCGATCAGCACTCATTCTGACCTAAAGTGCAGAACACTCACATCGTCAGCGGCCTTCTGCTGGCGTAGCCACTCGACTTCCTGATTCTTTTCTTGCAGCATGTCAGTGATTTCAGTCGCATGGTTCCTCGCCGCTTCTCTCGAGTCCTCAAATGCCTACACAATATGTGCTAAGCCGCTTTATCTTCCTGTACATTTGACTACGCACCTGTAGCTCAGTTTGGGCACGATCAAACTTGGCACGCGCGGCAAGAAAATCTAGTTCCTCCCTGTGGAAGGTTCGGATTGCCTTGGCATGTGCAGAAACGGCCCGACTCTCTTCGCGGATGGCACCTTTCTGCATCTTCTGGATATCGGCAAGCTCGCGGATTGCTTCTTCGAGCGCAAGCAGCTCCGCCTGCCCCTCAGATCTTATAACCTTTGCGACGCGCTTCGCGTCCCTTGCTACTCGCAGTGTTAGGGACAAATCACCAATATAGGGGTTAGGAAATACATGCCTGATGCTTTCTCGACACGCGCCCGCTGTTTGGCCGTAAGGTCTGCTTCCGCGGTCCGTGAGCGCTGATTAAACCCGCTCGTATCGTCAGGGTGAGTTGTTGCAGCGGGACCAACGGTTCCCGCACCAGCAGCGAACGTGCCGCTGCTGAGGCTAACGCGCCGACGACGTGTTGAAGTGCGCGAGAGAGGCGTGCTCCTAAGACTATCGCGGTCGCGCGCGGAGCGAGTGGAGCGGAGGGATGTCGAACGCTGCGGGATACCATCGTGCTCTCTCTCCTTCGTCTTCTCTTTCTTCGATTCTCCTGTCGCGGCAGTGGCGTCTTGATTCTCTTCCTCTTCATTTGGCGGAGCTGTACCATTAGGGCCAGCATTCCGTTTGGACCAGAGAATAGGGATAGGCTTCATGTCTGTGGAAGCCGAGCGTTTGGGCGGGTGGTTGGCAGTCGAGGGTGAGCCATATCCCGAGTCAGATAGAGGGCTCGCCGTCATAGCAAGCTCTTTAGGAGGCTGAGACTCGGGAGGCGGATATGAGGCGTCACCATTTGTATTGATACTAGGAGTGACACCTGTGTTCCTTTCAGCTCCCATCGTGCCATGTTGCTTTTCAGTGAAGGTGTGCTCAGGTGCTGAAGTGGTCAATGGCTGAGGGTCAACGTTAGCCTCTGGCAGGTCTGAAGGCTGATTTGGGTCCTGGAAAGGGGGAGGCATTTCTGAAGGGTCGGCTCCGTCTGTGGGGGCCGCGATGGTAGAACTCTTCCTTTTGGAAAAGAGATGCATGAGAGGGGCGTCGAAGTAAATGCTGCGGGTACTGGCAGGAGATTTATTTGGAGGAGAGGTGATGGTCATGAAGAGAGTCGTGGTGGCTGGGGCGGGCAGACAAGAATGGGCTGCCGCATCCGACTCGGTGACGTCTGTTACGGCTTGGACTGGTCATTGGAGCCCATCCTTCTCCTTTACCTTGTTTGGCATTTTCCCTTCCTTTTTGGGACCTCCGCCCGTCATTGCGAATTGGTCTTAATCTGGCGCTGGAATAGTGAGAATGTCGAATACAATAAATAAACATAACACTGTAAAGAACATTTACTCACATCAGTAGAAATACTCAGTAGATACTGTTTGTTGGTTGAAAACATGACTGGGAATTGGACGTCGAACGCAAGTTGACCAGGGCTTTACCGGAATGTACTTTATCTTATCGATGTTGCTAGTCAAGTTCAGAAATTTCCATTTTATCACTACATACTTACTGTCTTGACTTTGTCTCGAGCACTGTTCGCCAGCATCTGTGTAACGTCCACTCCATTTTCCCGTGATGCCTAAAAACGCGATGACACGACAAGCCTCAAGGTAAACTCCAGTAAACACCAAGCAAGGGGTTGTTTCAATAACTGTATCGAGTTACGACGTCCCTGTGAACCGAGATGAATGAGCTGGAGACCCTTTGCAGCCTCGTGGCGACCCCGGACGTATGCACCCAATCTTTGCTTCCGAGAACATTTGATCTGACCAGTAGTCATGAAGGCTAGGCTGCTTTTCTGGTTGTCACGCCTCCTTCTGCCGCCGGATAGGGCGCGCATATAACCGCCCTCGTGCTTTGTTTGTGCTGGTTACGTTTCCCATCGCTCCTTCCCATACACCATGACCGAGCACGAATCCGACTCTGACCTGTCCTGGGACGAGCTCGACAGTGACGATAGCGCGTCCATCGTCTCATATAACTCAGAAAGCGCTGTAGAAGTGGAGAATCAAGAGCCCGCTGACGCTGTAATTGGGAACGGCAACGAGAAGCAGGAAACAGCAGAGGCGAGCGCAGAGGGTTGTCTACCCGTTGTAGTGAGCAGCATTACAACAATGTCCCACTCATACATTGCTCAGCGCTCTCTTAGCGTAATCAAACAGGTGGACCACACAGTCTAGGCCACACGGGTGACCTCCAGGAACCTGGAATTGCAACAACCAGCAGCAATGAAACGACGCCCCCCGTCAGTGTGAGTGTGTGGATTACTTTGTCTTGCATTGCCATGTTTACTTGAACCTGAGGACCCTAGGCTAACCCAACCTCCTCCCCTGGCATATCCGATGCCGACTGGCTCGCTCTTAACGCTTTGGTGCAGCAAGTCCTTCACGCGGAGAAGATGGTAAGCACCATTCCCCTAGCTTCTCAACATTCATACTCCAGGCATTCATACCCAATCTCCTCGGCCAGCTATACATATCCCAGGCGTTCCAGAATGTACAGGCAGCGACCCACCGCGCTGAGCGGCGTATGCAGCTGGTTGTAGAAATTCGTAAGCTTCAGCAGAAGGTGTCCAATCTGCGCCCAAGTTCATGTGCTGTGCCCATACTCCTTGCACCTCGACGGTCGAGAGAATTTCCTGTTTACGAGTGGCCCGCAACATCAGGACGTTGCGAGGACGACCAGATTCCTACTATATGCGCCCCAAGTGCGCCCATAACGCATGAATCCTCTCGCGAAAGATCTAAATCACGGGTAGCGGCAGATATATCAAGATCAATTCTTGTCGCCGATTCGCCTTTAGACAGTCCATTGATTCCCAATTTACCTTGGAGTATGCGCAGCAGTACCATGAACAACGGCGCGCCTTCGTCGGACGTGCATTACAACGTGGATGCCCCTTCCCAATCAGGTTCTGCGATCGGAGATAGCTGTGTCCTGAATGATCAAGCTCTTCCTGGTGGGTTCCCTGACGCTGCAAACGATGGGGACAGCGACAAGTCGTATTTGCAAGACGAAAATAATGAACCGGCATCTGTTCTCCATCACAGGCCCCGCAGCGAGGTCAGTGGTGATTCTGGTAGCGATAACTTCACATCGCTGGCAGACCGTCTTTCAATCGTGCAAGACAGGCTTTGTTCCCTCGAAGAGCGGATCCCTCTTCCGCGCTCTGGACTCAGTAATGAGGTTGAGGTGTTAGATGGTTCTGGTAGCAATGTCTTGGCTGCACAGCACGAGATCTTCCGCGCAGAGCTCTCTATGATGCGGGACGGGGTGCAGGCTCTTGGCAAGCAATTTTCCGATCAAACTGAATCCATCGCGAAAGTGAGTTACCTTATCCCAATATTCTCGGCCGTCTTATCTGGCGGGTGTTTCTCAAGGGAAAGGGCAAAGAATCTCCAAGAAATAGTCACAGCGAGATCAAGCTGACGACTCCTGCTCGCAAACCAAAGATTCCAGTTCGCCCGTCTATAGTCTTGCAGCGAGCCGATCTTGAACAGAAAATGGATCTGCTACTCAAGGAAATCGGTCCGGGATGCTCCTCAACGCAAACTACTACTATGGATGATAGACACGCCTTTTCGCCGGCGGAAACCCTACTTGACAACATGGTGATTGACCTCGCGAGCTCTAGTCCCTCACATTTCCCTCGCCCTCTGCCTCCAAATCCTCTGTGTAGAGGTGCAGAGGCCCAGGATCGGGCCAGGCCAGCGTCACGTTTCGCCCCGTCCCCAGCCCCGCCCCCAAGGACAGCTACGGAGGAGTGGGTCACAGCGCAGCTCAAGGAGACACTCGGTATACAGCGCAGGCAGCTCGAGGAGGAGCGCAGGAAGCTGGCGGGCGAGCGGATCCAGTTGCACACGGATCGTTTCCGATTGCTTGAGGAGCGCAGGCAGCTGAACGACGACCGCTTCCGACTGAACATCGAGCGCATGAATCTCAAGCGCAAAACAGTGCATGTAAGCTCTAAAGGTCCAGCGTGTCCACCACCACGATCCCCATCGCCACCCTCCAGGGTGCCTAGTTCTTGGCTGGTGCGCAACCCCGTCTCGATACCCCCCTTGCATGTTTGTTCGCAACCTCGTGCGAGGCCGGCGCCCGTGGGTGCGCGTCCGGTACAACACACAGTTTCCCATGCGGACAGCTCCGGAGCGTGGAGGACGGTACCATTCAGCAGTGCTTCCAAAGTTGAGGCCTCGGCTTATAGGTCGCCTGAAGATATGGCTGGTACTGGGCGTGCTGGAAGTGCAGGGGATTCGATACAGAATAGCTCGTTAGAGGGGAGGCTTGCGCAGCCTGTGGAACAAGGCAAAGATCAGATTGCTAGTGGGAGTGGGGGAGGCCATCTGGACTCAGAGTCTTCTCCCCACGCGGAAGATGTCGTATTCGCGATCTGAGCCCAATGAGCGATTCTGTGGGCGACCTTATGTCGCTATCAGTACCACTGTGGACCTGGCTCTACTTGTATTCGCTGCAAGCTGTGTATGTTTGGCAGTTGCTTCTGTACTGTGAGTGTGATTTGTCTTCGCCTCTTGTATCGTGATTAGATATGTTGCCATTAGCCTGTATTCAAGCTGTGTACTATCTCTGCACCCCATTATACATTGTTTGTTCTGCGCCGACGGACCTCAAACATGGAACCCTATGACCACACGACTGCATACAGTCCACGCAGGTTATCGCTGATGACATATGGCTCAGCTGTGCTTATGTGGTTTTGTGGCACTGTCCTTCGTGCGCCCATGATCCTGCTCGTCGAAGTCTACGGGACATTGCGTCAGCGACCCCAAATTCACACTGATGTCCAATGAAAAAGCGAGCGCTTTGTCTTTGCCAGAGCAGCTTTGAGTGTTGGAATCCGTTGACGCACAAAGAGAATCAGCTTCTGCCCATTCCAGGGATAGGTATGTTCGTCCCCCTGACGTTTCCGAATACTCCCAGGTATGTTGTTCTGCACGCTATAACGCAAATTTCTTATCAACATGCTCATCGAGGCTATCGCTTGTCCATAGTCGGTCAGAGGGTGTGATGCTGTGCTGGCTTCTCAAAATCCGATGGGCGGCGCGCTCATTTTAACCATAGGGGTGGTGGAATAAATAACGGCACGACACTTTCTGTCTCAGGTATCTGCACTCTCAGACTACCATGCCCAATGACGAACTGTGTTCAGTGCGGTCCTGGGACATGCTCGAGGCCAACAGCCACTCGCCCGCCCTCTCATATGCGTCTGATATGCATGTTGCAGGGAAGACTTTACACTGCATCAATGGTATGGACGCTGCACGACTTGCAATACCTGCTAGCAGCGGGAGTTCTGGCCGTGTATGTTTTGTACTGCTGTTTCTCGTTTTCGTATTGATGGTCTATCCAGCTCAGCCCTCGTCTGACACATTCATCAATACGGATGGCCCACGCTTCGAACGGCGAATTTCCGTTGTTGTTCAATGATGGTCATGACTTACAAGTAAGTTCCCGAGTACATCTTCACAGCCGTATAGTCTTTTATGTGAGATATTTGCACTCAGGAAAGCTCTACACCGAGGTCTGCTCCTGCCGACGATGATTGGTGTGCCCTGCTGGCCCAGGTTCAACAAGTAATCCAAGCAGAGAAAGCCGTGAGTGGCGATTCTTCAAATTAGCTATGACTTGTCTATATGCACTAAACGGACATGTGTATCAGCTTTTCATTTCTGGACTGCTTATAAAGGACGTCCTATGGATGCATGAACATGCACATCGGCGACTAAAGCTTGTCGAAGAAATCCAGAAGCTTCAGCAGGCAGTCAAGAATATACGTCCCAGTGGATGGTACCCCGGCACGGTACGTCTGTACCTTTGTTTGATAAAATTTTATAGTGACCATTCATGTTACCGTAGGATCTATCTGGATTTGGCGATGCTTCTAGTGATGGCTTTAGCCTGCTGTCCGAGCCTGGAATCGGAGAGGCAATACGACATCCTAGAACATTTATCGAAAGCGCCAGCAATGGATCCTGCATTGGATTTAGGGAGGGGGTTCATGCGTCGACTAGCCCAGAATGGGATGACTGGTGCGAACTCCAGGAACGCTATGGCATAAATGAACTCGAAGGTTCTGCATGCGATCGCATACACGCGAAGAGATCAGACCTAACTATTTCCCATGCCCTAGACAACATCTTGGGAGTGGACTTAGGGGGAGTCACGGGTGATCTCAGAACAGATTCGACGGTTGCAACGACACCAGACGCACAATCTAATCCAGAATTTTCTTCGCAACAAACCGAAACCGGAGGAGGCGTAATGGGACAGCTCGTGTGGGATCAAGGCGCGATGGCTGTTACTACTAGCCAGTCTGATAGCGGTCCTTCGACGGTCGATGACACAAGTCGAGCGCGAAGCCCACAGCCAGGAGCGCAACTGAAGGACCGCTGGGTGCGCAGCACGATTAGGCCACTCGGTCCCAGGAGGAAGGGTCAGCGAAGCCGCGCAGCAACCTTCCCGAACAACAGCGTATTTCACGGCAAGCCTCCTCCCCAGGAGCTTTCCGTCACCGTCTGCCCCACGCCCACGGTTTCAAAGAACGAGCCCAGGCGGAGCCCACCACTCACACGGTTGTCGAGGACACTACGCTCCGCAGAAGACCGGATAATCGCGTCTTTCGGTAAGGATCTCGAAACACAGCGCATACTGCTTGACGCAGACCGCAAGAAAGTGGAGGACGAGCGCAAAGAGCTGGAGGATGCCCGGATGCGGCTCAGCGTTGAACGTTTCCGACTCAACTGCGAGCGGATAGAGTTCGACCGCATGCGAAAGGCCGAGATGATGCCGCCTCCTGCTCTGAGTGCAATTGCAAGCGATCCAACGAAGCGCTTTGGTGGCCTTCGCTTTCGCCAGCCGCTGGACCCGCGAGTGGAGACTCTGTGCACAGCAATGGACGAAATGGACTACGCAATACCGCCACTCAGCCAATGGATTAGGCCTGAGTGTGGCTCCCAATGGAAGGATGATTCCCATGGATGGACAGCCAACCCGGAGGCTGAATCTTGATTTTACGGCTCATGCAAACGGACTAAGACATTAAGAACTTCATTCACCGCGACCGGATTTATGCATGGGAATAGCTATCGGATTGTTGTGATACCATGTTTTCTTGCCATCGGTTCCTTGGACTTGCATTGTGCAGTGTATCATCGCTTGCTATTCATCTGCCCGTCTCATGTTGTACTATTTCCAGCATTCTGTATGATTTTAACCACGCCATATTGAAATTCATCTGACCATTTCTGTGAATAACGCTTTACATGAACTGATGGCAAAGTCTACGACATGATGATTAATTCATCCACAGGTATAATTTAATAAATTACGAACGCATTACCACAAGCCCCGTCCATTCACCAAGCAGCAAAGTCACCGAATACCTCTCGCTCATCACTCGCGATCGACAAGTGCTGATCCTCATAAAGCGCCGTTACCACCTCCTTCTCACGCCACTTGTTGTTCGCTATCGGAGTAAGGGTGTAAGTTATGGAGAGTGCGGACAATGCCCCGCCGTATGCATGAGAAATGCCTACAACGATTTAAATATAAAACCATCTCGCAATAAGGCTCTGAGTACACACCTGTGTCTATGACGATGATCTTGCCGTCGCACCGTGAAACTATTTTCTATTGTAGGCAAGTTGTAACTTAGTCACAAGACGGTAGCGCAAAGGAAATTCGCACCTCAAAGTCAGGCGTATGACCCATGATCATCCTCCTCGTCCCAGTCTTCTTGAGAACTGCGTCTACCTCTGCACACACCTTCTCCTCGGGATCCAACGCCCACCCCCTGTACCACAAAGGCCCATCACTTCCATACAACCTGCGCTCTGCAGGCGTAGCGCGATCTGGCAAGCCGGGGTACGGGTTGGGGGGATGAGGCGGCGGCGGCGAGCGAGCCTGGAGCTTGCGTAGGAGCGATTGCCCGAGCTCGTTGATATGCGAGGGAAAGGGCGTTAAGTCGGGATAAGAAGGAGCGAGCCCTCCATGCACGAATGATACAGCAGCGTGGGAGAGAGGTGAGGGGTTTGAGGGATCGAAGTCGACGTTGGGTTCGCCAAGGGACGGGTGTAACGGGAGTCTACTAGTCACCGTGTAGTTGGCCGCCCAGCTCTTCCCTATGTGCCCGGATGAAAGCATCTTCTGCCGCGCGGAGACGGAGCCGAAGGTGGCAATTTCAGAGGGGTAAACGTATCTGTATAGTGATCCGATCGAATGGGGCCCAAATGAACGGGAACCAGTGCTCTCACCTCCAATCACCTGCACGATGTTTGAATATATCGCTGAGAACTCCATGTATTACACGCACCGATGATGTTCATCCATTCATGATTTCCCAAGTGAGACATGACGAGACCACCAGCAGCGTGTGCTTGCTCTCGGAGCTGGTCCATCCACTCGTACAGCTTTATGGTATCATCGCCTCTTCGCTCAAATTCAGCGCTTGCGCTAGGGCAAGGTCTGCGTAGACTCACCGGTCGATGATGTCTCCGGTCTGAACGAAGACGTCGACGTTTCCGGTCCATTTACCCTGAGCGTCGACTACACCCGCCATCTGGAGGACAGCCTGCGCATTTGGCATGTCTCCATGAAGATCACCTACTGCTACGATTTTCCGCTTGAACTGCCCGGGAATGCTCAGCGGTTGTGTATCGTGAGAGTGGCCATGACCATGTCCTGACGAAGAATGCTTGTGACCGCCGGAGAAACCAACTACGTCTAGTGGCTGCTGTTCTCTGGTACCGGAGTGTAGGGCTTCATTTTCCGGGTGAGTAGCAAGAGGCCAACTAAGCGGGAGACTTAGGGCTGACTTGAAAAAAGCGATCTGTGGTGAGAATACGAGAAGCAGACCGCACAGAGGCACAATAACTGCGAACACCAGGAGTGCACGCATTTTGCGGTGCCTTTAAACTTTGAAGCTTAGATGAACGGAGAGAAGACGGGTTGGTATTTCAACGGGGTGATCTATGTGGACAAACTCAGAGTTCGCCTATCCCGAAGACACGAAGGAATGCAGTTGCAGCCTGTTCGCAGTCACCACGCGCACCTGGCGCTCGTGACTAATGCGCTCTGCCCTCTTCTACCCCACGCTTGCCTCCTGTTTCACTAATTGTGATTTCCCCTGCACAATCTTGGAGCATCTATATTAGGTCTACGCAAATCGCGCACAGCTTAAACAATCAAGTCTGTGCCGGCTGCCTTCCCAGCAGGTATGGGATTGCATGTGGAAGCCCCTTCGCATTTGCCATGACGAGTCTCTTCAGGATGGATGCTGTTCGTTTACCTATCCATACACGTTCTCGAAGACTACGCGAAAATAGGCAAATTCTAACAAACCAAGCTGAACATTTGTCGGCTGGTCCTCTCATAACTGCGGCTGCCCATACCAAAGTATTTAAACCATATGCTAGCTCAAAAATCACTACCATCAATCGAATCACCGATGCGGGGATCTCCAATCCTCAGGCTATTCATGGAGGTGGCACTAGGGACTCTACTCTGAGGTCATCTCATAACTCCAGAGGTGGTCGTGCTTTAGTGTTTGTGGATGTACCCCAACATCCTGATCCTGCCGTCCGCAAAATGATGGCGAAACCCCTCAAACCTCGTGTCCATTTCGCACTGCAACATTCTTCAAAGCAAATCAGCCGTGCTATTTCTAGTGCAGCGGATACTGGTCTCTCTCATTTACGGCGTCGTGTACCTGAATCCCCGCCCAATTCATCCCTGGATAATGGCTCAAGTTCCGACGAGGCACTCTCTAGCTCGCTTGAGGCTCACTCATCCTTTATTCGCGCATTGACTCCTTTTCTAGATTACAACGGAGGTCCTTTGAACTCAAATCATTTGCGAATGCGTCAGCTTCCAGCTGGAAGTCGTCGCACAACGTTCCTCCCGTCCCCGTCCCCGTCCTCTGGTTTTCAGACACCCATCCGCACCAGGTTGTCTAAAAGGCTCTACAAATCGCATTCTCGCACTTTGCTTACAGCTACTTCTACCACGGATCATGCCAAAATCAATACGGCACGTCGACTGGCAGACATTTCTGAGCTTTTTGATTTTCGTTGCAACCTCCTTGCTCTGGTCGTGTTCGTCTCGAAGCTACTTCTCGGCTTTCTTCTGTCTTGCCTTGTCTTAGTCATCTTTTTCTGGATCAAGCTCGTTTTGTGATGCTTGTTCGCTCTGGTCTGATTCGCTGTTCCTCTCGCACGCTCTCCTCTCCGCTAGCTCTCTGATGTTCAACATCTGTTGACTTTAGTGTGGTCTGTTGAAAATCAATTCGAAGTTATCATATGCTTTGATCAGGAAAATGCGACATCAATACGAATTTGGGCGCCATAGTTATAGTGCAAGTAATGCCATGTCTATCTGAAGGCAGCGGCGTTTCTGGCGTTTTTGAGATCTCGGTTTAGAGTGTGGTTACAGCTTATGTCGTGACACAGTAGCGACATACGAGAGGCAGATATACATTCATTGAGCATTCGTGCATACATCCAACGAAACACAGATACAAATACAACTAGAGTTAAATTACAGCTTGCTAGAGGTCGATGTGTGACTCGCGACATTGATCGCGTGCACTGGAGAACCATCCAGTCACACAAGCTTCGCAATTTCTGCATCGATGGCTTCCGGAGAAGTAGTCGAGGCCCAACGCTGAACTACTTTGCCTTCCTTGTCGATGAGGAACTTCTCAAAATTCCACTGAACAGACAAATAAGGATGAGCGAGGCGGCCGGAAACATGTACTGGGCGTAATCACCTTAATTCTGGTCAGACCCAACAGGCCGGACTTTTGGCCTTTGAGATACTTGTAGACCTCGTTCGCATTGTCGCCGTTCACGTCGGACTTCTTCATAAGCGGGAAAGTTACGCCATGGTTCAGCTGGCAGAACTCGCCAATCTTCTCGTCGTTCTCGGGTTCTTGTCCTCCAAACTAATACGACATATACAATTCGGCTTTGTCCAGGCATGACGTTAGTGGGCCGCAACTACCCACCTGATTGCAAGGAAAACCCAGGATGAGGAAATCTCTGTCCTTGTACTTGTCGTAAAGCGCTTGGAGGCCTATATGACGATAATTGACAAGCGTAATAAGCGGCAATACAACCCAGCTACGAACCTTTGTACTGAGGCGTGAATCCACTGTTTCATGGGGCGTCCTGTCGGTTTTGTGGATCATGATTCGGTTGTATGCGAAGCACTCACCACTTCGAGGCAACGTTAACGATGAGCACGACCTTTCCCTTCAACTCCTCGAACTCCAGCGTCTTCCCGCCGGGCTTCTCAGCTTTAAGTTCGTAGAATGAAGACATGGGTGTTCCGCTGGGGCTACTGACTTGCTCTGAGGTGCGCTTGGGTAAGGTGGTAGATAAATATCGATGAGTCGTTCTCACGACACAGTTACTAAGATACCGAGAGTAGCTGGATACGGAGCCCAGAGTCGAGCCGCAGTATCGTCGATAGATAGACAGACTTCGAAATGGGAGATGTCGCCGTGTAAGTAGAAATGGATCCTGGAAAATGCGCCCGTGCGAGGTCCGCTTGATGAGTGAGGAGGCTATGTGTGTCTCGAGCTGTGGCATTGAGTGCGGTCAACGGCTGCAGGCAACCAACCAACTTGCGTCCTACGGGTCACCGCTATAATGTGTTTGCCGCTATGACAAGCCGTGCTTGCCTACTATCCTACTCATTCGTCCGCTCTCGAGTGCTTTGCACGTTTGACTTGTTCGCGAGATCCCTCAATCTATCCAAGGCACGGGCCCTGCCAGTGAGAAGCGCACATTCATCTTCTAGTTCCTTACCTCCACCTCCGCCGTTGGCGACGCTGGCAACGCCGGTTGAGAATGCTCAAGCGAGAGCGTGGATAGCAAAATTCCAAGCTCAAGACATTCCACGGGGTCTTGTCGAGTTAGCTTTCTCTCGCAGCTCAGGACCCGGAGGGCAGGTGTGTTCGAGTAACATCTCTGCAGTAATTGCGGAATTTACGGCTGCGCGTAGAATGTGAATAAAGTTAACACTAAAGCGACATTGAGATGTCCTCTCGATTCGCCTTGGATCCCTCTATGGGCGAGAGACCACATCAAGAGGACGGTGAGCTCGATTTTGGCCTCTCGCGTATACCTATCCAATTTCATCACTCGAAAGCCATCGTATGTATCATCATCGCAGGTAATTCAGATAACATCTACTGTGCATCGCTCGCAAGCTCAGAACATTCAGGAATGTCTTTCAAAGGTACGCTTCTTATGCATAGGTCGGGAGAACTACTTAGATCTGTGCCTTCGCTAGCTTCATTCGCAAATTCTAATTGCGGCATCTACGCCTATCGTGAATGAGACATCCAATGGACAGAAGGAGCGTGTCCGCGGGTTTGAACGGGCGGAGAAGGCTAGACGCAGGGTACATAAAGACAAACGCAGTGAACTGAAGCGGGGCAGATCCAGCCGCGACTGGGATTAAGCCATAAAGTACGTTGCAGGTAATTTGGGATATCTTTACGTTACAGACTTATCAGCGCTACACCGAGTGTGGCCATCGGATCCACAGCAAAGAAATGTCCATTTCGCCAGCGAGGAAAAGCCCATTTTTAAGGGAAGAAAGGCTTACTCAATTCAGTCGGCACCTTTCTGGTGTCTTTCCGACAGGTCCTTTACACTGCAAGAAAATGGTATTTTCTTTGTTGTGACCACATTGTAGAGCATTATCTCGCAAGATACCTGCGTACCCAACCTGGCTCGATCAGTTTTTGAATGGGCATCTCGGACGGTCCAGGGGCTATCCTAATGGAGGCAAAATAGTGATTGACGAGTCGCCCACAGAGGGGTAAGTCAGAACTGAAATTCGCGGTCGACGCGACGTCCGCTCTCCCTGCCGGGTCACAGGGGACGGTGCGTGAAGCTGGGCCCGTACGTGAGTGCGGCAGCTCGACAATGACTGTCAACCTGCTCCCAGATCATCATCATCGTCTGCGGTGTTGGATTCGCCCTGGCAAGCGGAAGGGTAGTAGAAGCGAAAGCCACGCGCCGAACCAGCGGTGCTGTGTCAGTGTGCCAGGAGTCTCAGGAGTGTCTGCTAGTGCCCCTCGCTTGCCCCTCGCTACCATGTCTGAACCGCTGCTCGTCCGTCAAAATGCCCTCGAAGAATGGACTAACAAGCACGCGCAACCGCTTCTTGATGAAAAATGGCCGGCGCAGATGTGGAATAGTGCCTGACGGGACGGAGAAAACGTCCTTCGCCTCCTCCCTATCGTCCGCACTGAACAGCATGTCAGCGTCGGTAACATTCCCCAGCAGTGTCTCGTGATGCCGGGGTTCCAGAATCAATTTCGAGAGTTTGGACTATCAGCTATGTATGTGAGGCATGATTATGTGGAGATCCTGAAGCGAATGGTGGCCTTTGCGCAGAAGAATTATGTTGAAACAAGAAGCGAAAAGGCAGAGGTAGATGTTCGAAAGTGCTTATCCGACACTCTGGAAAATCCGTTCGTAGGGATGCAATGCAACTTCCGGCGTGCAATCGCAGTAACAGGCAGTCCAGGCAATGGTGCGTTGCCGTTTCTTGATGTTTTTGATGTTAACCCAGCCGCGTTCTGTGTATGCGTAGGAAAGAGCTTGTTTCAGCATGTCATCTTGGGCCTCCGTCTGAATGCCAAGCTTTCGACACTTGTTCAGTTCGACCAGAGGCGTGCATACCTATTTGCGGCCCATGGTGTATTTAAAATCACTAGAGACGCGCTCTTAGACCCCGATGTGGCTGGCGATCTCGGAGATCTGATTCCTGACGCATAGTGCCTAATCGATTCGGATCTGAGCATGACCATTCCGACATATATAGCTCTTTAAAATGGCTTGACAATCGTTCAAGCTGCTTCGGCGCGACAGAACAGGTTGGCTTGGCTGAAAAAATCCAATAGGGACAGTAGGTCCTTTTGCATGAGTCCATTCACACTCGAAGAGGCTATCATTGTGTGAGCATTCTATATACATGGTCTGCAATGATGCTACGGACCCCTTTCTAGGCATTCTCTCCATGAGCCCAAGCCGCTCTGTAAGGAAATAGACCTCAAGAACTGGTTCGACCATTATGCACCGTTGGCTCGGTTAGCATTGAGAAACGCACACGAACAGGAACTCTATCAGGAGACTATTGAGAGGAAGGTGGCTCGATTCGATGCCTCCAGCCTTGCGAACGTCGCTCGTCGGGCGATGGGTCCTCAGGAAGACACAAACTCGCATGAACTATTCGTCTTCTATCCAGACTCAAGTTACCTGTTTGCTTTTGCCATCTGTCGCACATCCACTTACTTGACATCTTTGGCCATCCGTCACTTCTCCTCGGAGAGTTTGGCGGAATGCGTAGAACACTATAAGATCTTCCTGCGCATTGAGCCCCTAGTAGCTGCTGCCGGTTGTCTCCTGGAGGGTATAGCAGCTGATTTTCAGCGCTAGGGTGGGTCGTGGAAGATGTGAGAGTTGGAGGCTAGAAGTGCAGGGAAACATCAGCACTGGAGCATGAGTTCTATCAGACCGACGGCCTCATGGCTTGTCGCTGTAGGTGGCATACGCATATCCGCATATCGACCTTCGAGTCGATGGGCGCGCACCAGCACGTCCCGATGGTGTTATATCCCGAGTTGACAGTTGATCTCGTCGACGGCCACCTTTATGTTCCCGAGTCGCGAACGGAACCAACATATGACTCGTTCTATTATTGCAAGGGCGCTGCGATCGTATTCCAGCGCACCGTCATGGCATCAAAGACCAAAGTCTCGCAAAGCTGAGAAGCATGGGGGTGAAAGAATTCACTTATGTCGGCATAGTCCCATATGGCAGACATCCCGATTTTAGTATTGATCTCAAAATCGCTGAGTGCTACCAGTTTGCTGGTCGGTACATGCTCAGCCTTGAGATCCCGGGTGAATACGATGCAGTCTGTTCACTAGGTTGTCTGGCTTTACTCTGATGACAAATTGTATTTAATAGCTGGTGTCGAACAACGTCGTCTCATGTGTGCAGTATTGTATCGGTAAAGAGACCGTTGTATTCATATCAAATGCGTCGGCTTTCTTTTTCACGTGAATTCAGGGTCTATTGTCGTGCATAGAATGTGAATAAGATAAACCTCATGGCAACCTTCAGATGCCTTCTCCACTCGCCTTGGATCCCTCTTGTCGGCGAGACCGGGCCATCAGGAGTGTGACGGCAAGCTCACTTTCAACACTATACGTGTACCCCATATAAATCAGCTCACGAGGATAGAACTGCTTCCATATGTCAACAGCTATCGCAAAACATCCATCCTGCGAAATATCTACGCAGAACGATATGGATTCAAAACGCCAGAAGGGTAAGCATCGTCAGCCCTTCCTTGACGATTCCGCGGAATTCCTTCTTCAGCCGCCGACTGCGTGGTCTCATCAGCTCGAGTTTAAGCCACTTGATCAGATTTGCATATGTGTGCGGCTTGCGCGAAAGAACTGTGTGGAACGCGTGCGTACCCATCCTGGCCCAGTCACTGCAGTTAGCCCCGGCCAACGCCCAGTGTCCTGCCACATACCAGATGGTCTGCGCTTGTTGGACAACAAAGCGCCCTTCACTGGCTTTCGCTACGCGATTTGTGGCCTTGTTCCGCATCGCAGCATATGTGTACCTGATGACCTGATGAATAGTATCTGGCGATATGTTCAGCGCCGAGAAACACACGCATACGATAGAACGCAGCGCACTTCGCAGGAATGGACTGCTCTTCTTGGTATTGAGTCCCCACTGGTGAAGGTAGTGGTGCATCTTCATCGCTGTCAACAGGAAATTCTGGTAAATATTGAGGTAGACAGTGCGCGGCGAGTTGAGATCGGCGTCACAGAACAGTATGTGACTTTTCGCCTTGGTCAGTCTATGCGGCAGAGTCAGCGAAAATGGTGTAAGAATAAGCCGCTGAATTTGCTCACTGCATCATCTTATGCACGAACGTGACACCCGAGCGGCGGCCTCTTTCCACAGTCAAGGAGTCCACGAGGTCTGCAGTGAGTCGATAAGCGTGCTAGAGACCTCACCCGCATTATCTTATACACACAAGTTTCATTGTAGCGACCGTAGTCCGCTGACACGGACAGATCAGTCATATTAATCCTCATTCCACACCATGGAAAATCTGACAATAGTAAAGTATCCGCTCATGAGTATCGGAGGGCACCATGTGTAGAATATTGTTACTCTGCTGGTGAGGTTCCGTTATGCTCGTGCTCGGGTCGTCGACAAAATTCGTCAAAGTCTTGTCGCGCGAAATGAAACAGCCATAGTCCGGATGACCTTAGTACAGGAAGGGCTAATGAGTGGCCTTTGAATTCTGATACACAAAGAAAAATCACAACGTACCTTTGGCCATCATGGCCAGAAATTTTCTCGCTTTGCTGATATCCGTTGTGACGAAGAGGTAGTCATCGATCATACGGAGTAGGAGCTGAGTTGGACGGCGACGATGCGGGTTAGCAAGACAACCATGTATGCTATGTGCTATCGCTTGCTTACGCATTGGAGATCATCTGTAAATTTGAACACTTTCCGCTCCAAGTCACCATAAAAGAAGGAGCACAGAATTGCCGACAAGACTGATCCTTGGGGAATGCCAACAGTTTGTCTGTAATAGTTATGTCCGATCTACCGGAGTTGACAACAATGTTATCTCGGCGAAAACGGGGCTACCGTGTTCTTTCTTACCTTGACAATGTTCTCAGTGATATGCTCCTCGAGCAATTCGATGATTTCTTCCTTCGTGCTGAAGTGGTATACTACCTGCCGTTCGTAAATTGTATGGACGTCCAGTCTTTCGATCGTAGTAGTACTACATACCTGATCCACAAACACTGTGTGGCGCAAGCACCCCGCCAGCTTGGCGGCAGTGTCTAGGAAATGCGGATGGTCGTCTTCGTTCCCCAGATTGAGCTATCGTCAATGCTTCCGCAGAAACGCACAGCGTAAGGCACACCGACGCACCATCAGGCCGCGCTTTCTTCGCAAACTTACGTCTAACCTTCGAACCGACGCAATTCACTTGTCCGAACCGTTGCATCATGTATACATCCTCGTTCGACATGTCGGCAGACGAGAGGCAAAGAGGGCAGAAAGCATACCTCTGAAATGATTTCTCGGATGATCCCCAGAAGCTTCGTCTGCTCTATTGTGTCAAAACATGCTTGGACATCCACCTTGACAAAATACAGCTTGGGACTGCGCATACGGCGTCTCAGCGTGCGCGTCAACAAAGTACAGCTCGTCCTTACAGTGTTTTGTCCACGCTAGCATTCAATAGACGTGTCTTGAATGTTTTGAGCCTAGAGTAGATCTCGTTGGAGCCGAACACGGACGCCCCCAGCAGCCCAGGCTGGTTGTCCTACGCGGATTCCATTCAAATGAGGGCAGATCCCGGGGTGCCAGTAAATGCTCCACCTTCTCATATGTTAGAATCTGGAACGCGGCTTGAAGAACCTGGTTGATGGACTGCGCCCCCCGATCAAATGGTACCTGAGAGTCGCGTCATTTCAGCGTGCAAATTCTCGACACAGACAGGAATATATCAGACCTACCGTTGCCTTTCGTCGTTTCAAATTGACTATGGGCCTTACCCCCGTCTCTTTGGGTAAGAGCCGAACAAAGGAGAAGCCAAGCTTACGCTGGCGAAGGATCTCTTCGGCCTCTGCCTGTCACAAACGTTAAAGATAGTTTCATTCAAGAATAACTGCACGTTCACCCTACCTTGTCCATCTTCTGGAACGTGTCGGAACTCAGCTTGTCTACAAGAGGTGCGCACAGCGTCGACCAGTCGTCTTGCCGGAAATACAAGATCCTCCGACGCAGAGCAGAAGACTCGGTCACATAGAATGTAGTCTGCCAATGTCGTCAGCCTGGGCAAACGCTCCCGGTCGACACCATCGCACCTTCAACAGCGGCAGCAGAAAAGAGTCGAAATACCAGAACAAGAACTCTTCCAAGAGTTCTCTCCGTTTCAGCGCGTCCGTCACGGAGACCCTCCGCTGTGCCCTCGCTGCGCCGCCCTCTGGTGCCAACCACTCACACTCGGTGATCGAGAACTTGTGCAGGACGTTGTGCAGAGTGGTTGTCTCGTATCGTCTGGCAGATATGAACGCCTTGATTTCTGTTCCCTCACATTCCAGCGATCAACTGCTCAGAAGCCAGGACAACTCACGGCGCAACACCACCTTCTTGTTCCGCTTACAGCCCCAGAATGCCTTCGGGATAACCGCATTGGTCACGAGAACGGCATACCGGTACACCTAGTTGCAGGACAATGTTAAGCAGCGCGCGGCAGATGTGAGCGCTAGACGCCTACCTCCACATAGCTGCAGGCAAATTCTGCAAAGCGCGGCTTGGAGCTAACATGCTTCCGCGCCTGGCTGAGACCCCGCGCTATGATGGTGTTCCCAGCAGAATCAACCGAGTCATTGTAAAGTGCCATCGTCGGCTGACTACGGAGCTGAGAGGAGTACTCCGACATCATCTCCTGCGATGCAGACGTGTAAGCAGACATCCAGCCGCACACAACGCAAGTCCAAACCAGTATAATGCTGCTATCCAACGGCCGCTCGTTCTCTGTCCGGATCTATCCAGCCAAATTCGTGAGTACAATTGTGGGTGCGGACAAAACACCCCAACCTTGGACGGACAGGCAATATTCAACAGAGCCTTGTATCCGCATTTACCATGTCTCCAGATCATCTGATCAAGCATGGCTAGCACTGGCTTGAGCCTCTTTGGCGTCTTGCAGGGCCCCTTCTTCTGCAAAATTCATGCTCGTATTTGAATACCGCAGGTATACCCGGTGACGTTCGCCACACTCACCTCAATTTCGTCTTCCTGATTTGAGTAATCGAGCTGTTTGAGCGCTTGCAGAGCCGCATGTTCCGCCACAAAAAACGGATTTGCAAGCCCATACTGGCGCGGGAACACAAACTTGGATAGATGCCGCGCGTTTTTGGCTTGCTCTCGCGGATCAGGATCGACCCACGGCTCTGAGCAAGCTTTTGCCTTTGATTTCCGTTTGTACGCAGAGTTCAGGCGGTTCAAAATATCTGTGGGTGTCATTGTCGGCTGGCGTTTTGACCAGAGAACACTGAAGCTCACATGTGGGAGGAAGGCCGATCGCAATTCGATTTGTGCGAGGGATGAGGCTGGGCCATGAGTAGAACAGACGTGATCGGGAAAATGTGATATCCGCCGGGGTACGTCTGCGCGCATTTGAGCTTACACACACCTCGAGTGATTGTGCTCACTCACTTTTGCATTACAGGGCCAGGGGCCATATGTCGCGTCGCTGCAGGAGGTCCAGAGATGGCCGCTCCCATAGAGTTAGTCTTTAGCCGTTTTGCTGACCTTTCACAGTCAGACGCGCTTTTCGCTTGCCGTTTGACTCCACGGCAGGGGGATGCGGAGTCTAGGGGAGGAGCATGGTCTGGTAAAACTACATTACCGCTCACGCCTGCCACGAGAGGAGGAGGCTTGAGGAAGACAATGGGCTCGCCCATGACTTGGCAGAGACACTCGTTTGGCAGAGGGATGAACACGGATGCTTCGGTCAAGAGGTGGAACATGGCATCATCGCCTATCCTGTATGCAGCCTCTTCACTACTCCGCCACTTCGGAGACTACGGAAGGGGACGACGAACCTCTGGAACAACGTCTCCCACTCGGGTGCCTGAAGGGCAGTCACGACCGTGTTTACGAAGTAATTCGTGAGTAAGACACGGCCGAAGCCAGGCTTCCCCCAGTCTCCACCATCCTTGACCTAGCGAAGCACACCATCGGTATACGCACGCGCAAGAGAAAGAGCAGCACGTACTCGTCTATACCCGAGCGTGATCACGTTCTGCGGCCGCGCCTTCAAGAACAGCTTCTCCTGTGCTCTGTCTATAATCTGCGCACACACGCATCAGCATTTACGCCCTCCCTAGCCTCGCGCACGTACCTCGCGCACATGCACCATCGGCGCGATGGGGCTGAACCGCCGCGCGTCCGTGCGCTCCGCGGGGAGCGCGACATACGCGCCCTCGAGCAGCGCACGGTACGCGGGCGTGTCGCCGTCGTGCGGCTCAAAGTCTGGACCCTGGTATGCGGGCTTGGGCTCGAGGACGCCGCGCAGGTAGTCGCGCAGGCCGCAGACGACGGGGTAGTATGCGTGTAGAATCGCAAGCGTGACCGACATGGCGCCGCGCGGGCAAGCCGGAGGAAGAGGGGGGGACTGGGGCCAAGTCGCGTCGCTGGGAGGTCGCAGCCACGACCGCGACGCGGCCGGCTCACGTGCACACACGCATCCGGGAAAGGTCTACTTCTTTTTGTTTTTATTTTTATTTTTATTTTTATTTAACTCCGGATTTATACTCTATACCGTAAGGTACATGCAGAATGTAGAGGATAAGGGAACCATTCTGCGAGACGAAAGGTCCACTTCGCAAACGCTTATGTACCCCGTTAAGTTGGGCATCTTCTTTTCAATGACTTTCTATTGCAAAGCAAACAGCAATTTCTATATCGTGCGCGTGCCACCGCGCCCAGTAACCGCCCAGGATCCGCGTCGCTGCTCTGTGCCTGCACTCAGCAAGTCTCCGAGTCGGTATCACACACCGTCATGAAGTCCCCGGGTCTTAATGCCATGCAAGTATCTCAGAACTTGGTCCGGTTTGTGTCGCATACATCAGATTCTATCCGACTGACAAGTTTTGCCAGGCTTCAGTAATAACAACTCGGTTATGGCGCCGCTAGACATGATACCCGATGTGGCGCAAGTTCACGACCTGTATGAGAACAAGAAGATGGAGCCCAGTCGTCGGCATCACTTTCTGATTCAGCGTCCAGCGAAACATCTCGTGGGCTGATTTATATGATAATGGGGCACGCGTGAAGAGTGCTGACAGTGCGCTTGCCATCACCTTCCTGATGGCCTGGTCTCTCAGCGATAGAGAGATCCAAGGCGCGTCGAGACGGCATCTGAACGTTGCGACGAGGTCTATCTTCTTCACATTCTATGCATCACAATAAATCTCACGCGACTACAATAGATCCTAGATGCACGCGAAAAGAAAAAGAAAAAAAAGGCCGACGCATTTGATATGAACACAACCGTCTCTTCACCGATACAATACTGTACACATGATACGACGTTGCCCGATCCCAGCTACCAAAGTCCAAGTCACGCATTGGAAAAACGGCAGGCAACTTTACAAACTGGCATTTCAAAGCTGAGCATGTATCGACCGGCAAACTGGTAGAGGTCGACAGTCTTGAGATCAATGCGGATATCGGGGTATCTGTCAAATAGGACTATGCCGACGTAATTGAACTCTTCCACCCCCATGCTTCTCAGTTTTGCAAGCCCTTGGTCTTTGACGTCATGTTTATCCGCGACGGTGCACTGGAATAAGATCGCAGTGCGCTTGTAATAACAGAAGAAGTCATATGTTGGTTCCGTTGGTGATTGGGGCACATAAAGGTGGCCATCGATGAGATCACCTGTTAAGTCGGAATACAAGACCTTCGGGACGTGCTTGCGTGGGCGCACGCTGATCGACTCGAAGGAGTCATGAGTAGATATGCTCATGCCACTAGGGAGGAGGCGAGGGACATTCAACTTTTCCGTTCCGCCAGGCCCTGTTCCACATCTGCAGCGCCCGAGTCGCAGTGGCAGCCACCACAGCGCGGCGCACGTGCGCACACGCGTCCGCCACCGCGCCGAGCGCACGCGTCGCACCCAAGATTAGCCCTCCGTGAAAGTTCAGGCGTGCAGGAACTGCCTCCGGCTCAAAAGGCGTGCGTGTGGGAGGCGCGGGCACCGACTCCCCCGCACGCGCACATACACACACACATGCACCCCGCTGCGCCCGCACTAACACCGGCGCAGGCCCAGCGACAGACGTGCACGCGTCAACGCGCGGACATGCTGCAGCTAGAGCGCTTGGGGCGCACACTGCGGGCGGTGCACAGGCGTGCGCCAAGCAAGACGCAGCGTACGTCGCTCAGCCCGCGATATATAGGCAGATGTGGCAGCTGCAGGCCCGTCGCTCCCGACTCCCCCCCCTCCCCGCCGACTCCCCCTGCTCGCACACACGCTCGGTTCAGAAGCATTCAATTTCGATAACGAACAGCAAAGTAAGAAGCACAAACTAAATGGTGGTAACTTTCATTGTCCGAAATGTATGGGCCGGCCGCTCATGCGACGGCTCGAACCAAGTAGGCTAGGCATCCAGGTCCACGCTCGGCACTGCGAAAGCAAAGCAGGGCGGGGCAGAAGAAGAGGAAACAGAACACCACGGCGCGGTGGGCCCCTCCGCGAACGGGGCAGATAACTCTGCGCTTTCTACGGTAGGTATCAACGATCGACCAGCAGCGGGAGCAGGTCAAGCTCAACGCCGAGCCTAAATCACCGCCGCAACCGACGACAAGGCGCACCACGCGATGCTGCAGCAGACCGTGCGCGCAGCAGCACCTGCGCGAGAGCAACACGCTAGTCGTGCCTCTCCCACGTCGCGCGCTTGCTCCAATGCGCGTCCTGGAACGTCCGGAACGTCGCCGCAACCTGCGCGTCGCCCTCCGTCACGTCGTCGTTCACGCACAGCAGCACCACCTCGTGGTTCTCGCTCAGCCGCTCCATCACGTCCGCCGTCTGCTGCGGATCCTCGAGCCGCTCAAATGACGCCGGTGTGTACCCTGCCGCCCCACAGTCAGTCGCGCACTCAGCGGAGCGAGGCCAGACATACCCATCACGTAGCGATAGCGCTGCAGCAGCTGCAGAATCCACGCCCGCAGGTTGCGCTCGCTCGCGGTGCCCATCACTGCACCGAGCGAAAAGTCGCCGTCTTGCCACCGCTCGACGAGCGGCAGGTGCGGAATGTCGTCGAGGCCTTCGTAGCTTGGCCCCCGTCCCGGGACGAGCGGTAGCTTCCGCGCAGGGTGCGGGAGGAATGCTGCGTTCCCGAGGTCGCCGCTCTCGCGGACAAGCGCGGAGATCACTGTAGGCGTCGTCAGTGGCGGCGGCGGACATCAAAATTAAAATGAAGCCGCCAAACTTGGCGGATATCAGGGAAATCAAAGACCATCAAGACATACCACAGTCACCACATTCGACGTCTTTGAACGCGATGTGCTTGAATACGTCACTTGCGCGTTCAAAGCCCGCGAAGCACTGGTCGTAGTTGATCCGGCAAGTGGGCAGCTCGTCCTCGGGCACATCGGGCGTCGACGACTGGAAGCGATCGCCCAGATCCGCATACGCGTACCCGTCCATAGAGGCTTTACATCAGCATCAATGAGCAACACGAACACAGACGCGAGAGCCAGCGGCGGGTGCACTCACAAAACACATACGACGTGCTCCCGAGCCCGCCCTTGACCCCGCTGCGCGCCAACGCCCTTTCGACACGCTTACGCTCGAGCGTGCTGCGCCACGCGCCGCGCACATCCATCTCGCGTTCGTCGTCCCATACTTCCCATTCGCCGCCAAGCTCCTCCCAGGCCGTGCGCCCCTCCCACGCGCCCCAACTGTCGTCGAGCGCACCGAGGCGGCCAACGACCCACGCCCAGAGCAATGCCTCCCGCGCGCGCTCGACGATAAAGTGTGCGTGGAGGAAGAGCGTGTTGATGTCCGATGGCGCGCCGGGGCCAGAAGTCTCGCGGAAACGATGTGATGAGCTACGCGCGAACGCGCCCGGCCAGATCGTCTCAAGCTCGGCGAGCATCGCGGAGGACACGATCTTTGCCTGGTGCATCACATACGGGCGCTCACGTGCGCCGAATCGTTCACCTGCGAGGAAGAAGTCGAGAGTGAGCACGCGGCGTGGAGAGAAGAAGGGGTTCACGGACTCAGCATGTAGTTGGACTCGCCCATGCCGCGCCATTCGCCCATGGTCTCATGCGTCGGTCGCGACGGAGGAACTTTGAGCCAGGCCTCCATGTGCAATACGATACCGTAGGCTAAACGCCACTGTGGATGAGAGTGGCCCTACGAAACAATCCGGACGCGCGCACCAGAAGTGTAGAAGCTAGCCGGCGTCATGGGGCGCATCATGTACAGGTCATCGTTCTTGGCCAAATACTGTTCAGCCTGATTGGCGGCCACCAATGGGGAAATGCCTCACCATATAAACACTAGACGAGGAGCGCGTTAGACCATATGCCAAAGATCGTCAACGGCGAGATGCTCACAAATAATCAGATATATCCGGGACATGGCCAAGTTGCGTCTCGATAGCCAAGCTGAAACCTGGGATCAAGACACGACGTCATAGGCACAGACAGCGGGACACACCTGTTGAAATTGGTCCCCTCGTATGAAGAGAATATTTGGGCATGGTGCACGACGTCCAAGGACACAGCGCCGTCCTTCCAGCCGGAGTGGGTGTGCTTACCTAGGTCGAGCCACTGAGGGATCTGGCCGAGGCGCCAAGAGGCGGACAAGGTGAGGTTTGGGGTGGTGGCGGGGACGGGGAAGTCTGATGTGAGGAGGCGGAAGTGGCCGATGTACTTGCGGAAGTTTGCGAGGACAGAGCGGAGGGAGTGGCGGAGCTCATCGTGGTTCCTGTGACAGAGGAGGTCGGCCCCCGCGCGCACGCGGCCGAAGAGGGAAGCAGGAAGGATGGGACGCACCGGTAGAGACGCACTTCTGAAACGGCGCCAGTGGGCCGCCAAGGGTCGTCGTCGGCATAGGTGTCTTGGGCATCGAGTTTGGCGTCGAGCTCGAGGGGGTCGGAGCCGTTGACCCATGTCCAGAGAAAGTCGAGTTTTGGGACTTGGGAAGAGTAACAGAGATCGCCTTGGGAATAGTAGGCGTCCAGACAGGAAGAAGGAAGATCGACGACGGGCTTCAGGGTGGGTGCAGGGCCGGGAGCAGGGAGGAGGGACGTCTCGAAGGGGAGGTAGGAGGTGTGGAGGGACGAGGTGGCCTCTGGAAAGAGGTCAACGTCGAGATCGTCGAAGTCGTCGTCATCTGAGTATTGGAAGGACTGTCTGAGGAGGACAAAGAATGTGAGGACTGAAGCACTGAAGAGAACGGCGAGGAAAACACGGCGACGAGAACAAATGGAGGAGGAAATTGGAGCCTTCTGGGAGGGGGGGAAGAGGGCGAGGGGAATGTAGTCTGCGGTATTAGGGTAGGGCATGGTGGTAGAGAAACATGCAGCGGTGGGGCCGGGAGGGATGGGCAGAGAGTTCTTAAGAACTAAGATTGCAGATTGCCGCACTGCGCAGACCCGCAGCAGC